TACCGATACTAGACCAAAGACGGTTCATCGCTACCGATACTAGACCAAAGACGGTTCATCGCTATCGATACTAGACCAAAGACGGTTCATCGCTATCGATACTAGACAAAAGACGGTTCATCGCTACCGATACTAGACCAAAACGGTTCATCGCTATCGATACTAGACAAAAGACGGTTCATCGCTACCGATACTAGACCAAAGACGGTTCATCGCTATCGATACTAGACAAAAGACGGTCCATCGCTACCGATACTAGACCAAAGACGGTTCATAGCTATCGATACTAGACAAAAGACGGTCCATCGCTACCGATACTAGACCAAAAAGACGGTTCATCGCTATCGATACTAGACAAAAAAAGACGGTTCATCGCTACCGATACTAGACCAAAGACGGTTCATCGCTATAGATACTAGACAAAAGACGGTCCATCGCTACCGATACTAGACCAAAAGACGGTTCATCGCTATAGATACTAGACAAAAGACGGTCCATCGCTACCGATACTAGACCAAAGACGGTTCATCGCTATCGATACTAGACAAAAAGACGGTCCATCGCTACCGATACTAGACCAAAAGACGGTTCATCGCTATAGATACTAGACAAAAGACGGACCATCGCTACCGATACTAGACAAAAGACGGTTCATCGCTATAGATACTAGACAAAAGACGGTCCATCGCTACCGATACTAGACAAAGACGGTTCATCGCTATCGATACTAGACCAAAGACGGTCCATCGCTACCGATACTAGACAAAAAGACGGTTCATCGCTATCGATACTAGACAAAAGACGGTCCATCGCTATCGATACTAGACCAAAAGACGGTTCATTGCTATCGATACTAGACAAAAGACGGTTCATTGCTACCGATACTAGACCAAAGGCGGTTCATCGCTACCGATACTAGACCAAAGACGGTTCATCGCTACCGATACTAGACAAAAGACGGTTCATCGCTATCGATACTAGACAAAAGCCGGTCCATCGCTACCGATACTAGACCAAAGACGGTTCATAGCTATCGATACTAGACAAAAGACGGTCCATCGCTACCGATACTAGACCAAAGACGGTACATCGCTATCGATACTAGACAAAAGACGGTCCATCGCTATCGATACTAGACAAAAGACGGTTCATCGCTATCGATACTAGACAAAAGACGGTTCATCGCTACCGATACTAGACCAAAAAGACGGTTCATCGCTATCGATACTAGACAAAAGACGGTTCATCGCTACCGATACTAGACCAAAAGACGGTTCATCGCTATCGATACTAGACAAAAGACGGTCCATCGCTACCGATACTAGACCAAAGACGGTTCATAGCTATCGATACTAGACAAAAAGACGGTCCATCGCTACCGATACTAGACCAAAAGACGGTTCATCGCTATCGATACTAGACAAAAAGACGGTTCATCGCTACCGATACTAGACCAAAGACGGTTCATCGCTATAGATACTAGACAAAAGACGGTCCATCGCTACCGATACTAGACCAAAGACGGTTCATCGCTATCGATACTAGACAAAAGACGGTCCATCGCTACCGATACTAGACCAAAGACGGTTCATCGCTATAGATACTAGACAAAAAAACGGTCCATCGCTACCGATACTAGACCAAAGACGGTTCATCGCTATAGATACTAGACAAAAGACGGTCCATCGCTACCGATACTAGACCAAAGACGGTTCATCGCTATAGATACTAGACAAAAGACGGTCCATCGCTACCGATACTAGACCAAAGACGGTTCATCGCTATCGATACTAGACCAAAGACGGTCCATCGCTACCGATACTAGACAAAAGACGGTTCATCGCTACCGATACTAGACCAAAGACGGTTCATCGCTATCGATACTAGACAAAAGACGGTTCATTGCTATCGATACTAGACAAAAAGACGGTTCATTGCTACCGATACTAGACCAAAGGCGGTTCATCGCTACCGATACTAGACCAAAGACGGTTCATCGCTACCGATACTAGACAAAAGACGGTTCATCGCTATCGATACTAGACAAAAGACGGTCCATCGCTACCGATACTAGACCAAAAGACGGTTCATCGCGCTATCGATACTAGACAAAAACAAAAAGGTCCACTGCATCGCTACCGATACTAGACCAAAAGACGGTACATCGCTATCGATACTAGACAAAAGACGGTCCATCGCTACCGATACTAGACAAAAAGTCCACGGTTCATCGCTATAGATACTAGACAAAAGACGGTCCATCGCTACCGATACTAGACCAAAGACGGTTCATCGCTATCGATACTAGACAAAGACGGTCCATCGCTACCGATACTAGACCAAAGACAGTTCATCGCTATCGATACTAGACAAAAAGACGGTCCATCGCTACCGATACTAGACCAAAGACGGTTCATCGCTATAGATACTAGACAAAAGACGGTCCATCGCTACCGATACTAGACCAAAGACGGTTCATCGCTATAGATACTAGACAAAAGACGGTCCATCGCTACCGATACTAGACCAAAGACGGTTCATCGCTATCGATACTAGACAAAAGACGGTCCATCGCTACCGATACTAGACCAAAGACGGTTCATCGCTATAGATACTAGACAAAAGACGGTCCATCGCTACCGATACTAGACCAAAGCCGGTTCATCGCTATCGATACTAGAGAAAAGACGGTTCATCGCTACCGATACTAAAGACGGTTCATCGCTATCGATACTAGACAAAAGACGGTCCATCGCTACCGATACTAGACCAAAGACGGTTCATCGCTATAGATACTAGACAAAAGACGGTCCATCGCTACCGATACTAGACCAAAGACGGTTCATCGCTATCGATACTAGACAAAAGACGGTCCATCGCTACCGATACTAGACCAAAGACGGTTCATCGCTATAGATACTAGACAAAAAACGGTCCATCGCTACCGATACTAGACCAAAGACGGTTCATCGCTATAGATACTAGACAAAAGACGGTCCATCGCTACCGATACTAGACCAAAGACGGTTCATCGCTATCGATACTAGACAAAAGACGGTCCATCGCTACCGATACTAGACGAAAGACGGTTCATCGCTATCGATACTAGACAAAAGACGGTCCATCGCTACCGATTCTAGACCAAAGCCGGTTCATCGCTATCGATACTAGAGAAAAGACGGTTCATCGCTACCGATACTAGACCAAAGACGGTTCATCGCTATCGATACTAGACAAAAGACGGTTCATTGCTATAGATACTGGACAAAAGATGGCTCATCGCTAGAGATAGATTACATAACACCATTCATACCTATGGTTACTGGTCGAAACAGTCCATCGCTATAGATACTGGACAAAAGACTGTCCATCGCTCTCAATGCTGGACAAAAGATGGTTTATAACTATATATACTGGACAAAGATGACCCATTGCGATAGATAATGTACAAAAGACCGTCCACTGCTATATATACTAGACAAAAGACAGTCCCTTGCTATAGATACTGGACAAAAGATGGTTCCTCGATATAGATAGTATAAAAAAAGACCGTCCATCGCTATAGAGACTGGACAAAACAGTCCATCGCTATAAAGACTGGGCCAAACACTGTGCATCTCTATGAATGCTGGACAAATGATAGTTCATAGCTATACATACTGGAAAAGATGACCCATTGCCATAGATACTGGACAAATGATGGCTCATCGCTAGAGATAGATTACAAAAGACCATCCATACCTATGGTTACTGGTCAAAACAGTCCATCGCTCTAGATAATGGACAAAAGACTGTCCATCGCTATCAATGCTGGACAAAAGAATGTTCATAGCTATATATACTGGACAAAGATGATCCATTGCTATAGATATTGTACAAAAGACCCGCCAACCCACGTACATAGAGACGACCCACCCTTATTGTTCCATTAGTAAGAATAAATTCCACTCCAGAATTTCTTCCCATGAAACAGCTACTTCATGTAACCGACTAAGATGCTTTCCTGACTACTAAAATCTGTACTTATGTCGAGAATTAAACATTGTCTTTCCTACACGCTTCAGACATCGTACTTTTTTCCGCTTATGCAATAACTTCCCTCCGTAATATGAAACTACATCCTGTTCTTCTTAGCAACATTAATTTTTTAAAAACTGACCAAGATTGAATCTTTATAAGATCATGTGACTAGAATCTCAATGACAGTTTTTAGTAGATAGTCTGTTAAAATGTTCTAGTTGTCCGCCATATTGTATTGTAGTAACACTCATACGAGTGCATCATCATTCTTGTGTTAATTAGACTTCGACGCAAGCTGCGATAAAAAGAAACAAAGTTCAGTGAAAGTCATTGTCATATTACGTATACGCACACATACACTTTTTGTTCAGTTAGAGCTCTATGAATCAGACTGTGAACTTTCAGGTCTGAGACGAGCATTCATTCCATCAGCCGTAGACCAGGTTCTGGATGACTACATAGTACAGACGATGCCTTCTCAAATCTAAGCAGTGTATTAAGAATCAGAGAAATTTGATTAGAAATAAAGAATATTGTGCTGAACTGTTATGAATATCACACCTCGTATATAGCAGCGGAGTGTCGAAAATCTCACAGATGAAAAAGAGCCCTGAAGCAAGAGAAATAGTGCTCGACAGTAGGATACTGCAAGCGCCATCGGCATTACATGTGGGCAACGACGATGTTGTAAGATAACTGGAAACAAAAATATACTTAGAATCAGAAGAACGTTTGTTGAAAAATGCTAGGGAATATAACGTGGACAGCGAGTTGGGAGAATTTGATACTCACAAAGCAAGAAAGACAGGGAGAACCAGAGAAATATTAAATGGTTAGCGGGACAGGGATTAGGAAGGATAGTAATAAGACGAGCTACAAAAGAAAGTTGAAGGAGACATGAGGGGTCCACGTTCGAAAAGAAGAAGCACATAGAAGAAGAAAAAATTATGGTAATTGTATTAGAGTAAGTATAATCGACACTACGACGACGACGACGACGACGACGAAGAAGAAGAAGAAGAAGAAGAAGAAGAAGAAGGAGGAGGAGGAACAGAAAAAAAATAAATATTAGGGGGTGGAGGAGCAGAAGAAGAAAAAGAGTTGGAGGTGAAGCAGCAGAAGCAATAGAAGAAGGAGAATGAAGCGAAGAAGAAGAAGAAGAAGAGGAGGAGGAGGAAAAGAACAGCGACCGCAGTAGAAGAAGAAGAAGGGAGGAAGAGGAGAAGGAGATAGAGGAGCAGAAGAAGGAGGTGGAGGGCAGCAGCAGGCAACAGAAGAAGAAGAAGAAGGAGGAAGAGGAGAAGTAGATGAGGGAGCAGAAGAAGGAGGAGGAGGGCAGCAGCAACAACAGAAGAAGAAGAAGAAGAAAAGAGGGGAGGAAGAAAGGAGAAGAAGGATAGAGGAGAAGAAGGAGAGGAGGGGCATAGGAACAGAAGAGAAGAAGAAGAAGAGAAGAAGGAGGAGGAGGGGAAGCAGCAGGAACAGAAGAAGAAGAAGAAGAAGGAGAAGAAGAGGAAGAGGAGAAGAAGATAGAGGAGCAGAAGAAGGAGGAGGAGGGGCAGCAGCAGGAAGAAGAAGAAGAAGAAGAAGGGAGGAAGAGGAGAAGAAGATAGAAGAGCAGAAGAAGGAGGAGGAGGGGCAGCAGCAGGAACAGAAGAAGAAGAAGAAGAAGAAGAAGAAGAAGAAGAAGAAGGGAGGAAGAAGAAGAAGAAGAAGAGCAGAAGAAGGAGGAGGAGGAGGAAGAGAAGAAGAAGAAGAAGAAGAAGAAGAAGGAGAAGAAGGAGAGCAGGAAGGAGGAGGAAGCAGAGGAACAGAAGAAGAAGAAGAAGAAGAAGGGAGGAAGAGGAGAAGAAGATAGAAGAGCAGAAGAAGGAGGAGGAGGGGCAGCAGCAGGAACAGAAGAAGAAGAAGAAGAAGAAGGGAGGAAGAGGAGAAGAAGATAGAGAAGAAGAAGAAGGCAGGAAGGAGGGAATTAAGAACAGAAGAAGAAGAAGAAGAAGAGAAGGAAGATAGAAGAAAGAGGAGAGAAGAAGAAGAAGGAGGAGGAAGGAGGAGGGACAGCAGCAGCAACAGAAGAAGAAGGCGGCGGCGGCTTAAACTTTGCAATAAATAAAACCAAAACAAACGTCTTTTATTTTTTATTCTTCGAATTGGAAAGTGAGGGTTAGCAAAAATACAAACCTTCTAAAAAGCTATAAAGGATAGGAAGTCGTGGAGAGCTATGAAATGTTTAAATGTTAGGGTTAGCAAAAGAACATATTTTCTGAAGACCTACAAGGGGACTTCTGGAGAGTAATGAAAATTTTTAAAAAGTTGAAAGAAAAATATATATTTATTTAACAGTTATTTCTTTTATGTTTTTTTCCGCTGGTTCTTGCTTCCCTGGCGCCTGTCTAGTTCCTAGCCTTGTGTGTATCTGGCAGGAACTTATTCTTGCAGAACTGTATGAACACATGAAATCCAATCTCGCGGAACACGACCCTCGTCACACCGAATAGTGACAAAGAATCAATAGCATTGGTTTATTTAGATGCTAACAAATTTCCTTTCTGTCTGGAGGCCACAGTATTTTCTGTAGGTGATTTCTGTCGATTGTATACAGACACCCGGGCGCGACATTAGCAACATGTCATCAGGGTAAGATCGATATTGGAAGAACGAGCGGATCGACAGAATATATATATATATATATATATATATATATATATATATTGTTTACCATCTTACTATTGGCTGTTTCAGTCGTCGTTCGGTGTGTAGAGAAGAACTAACCATGCTCAGTTTCTCGTTACTAAATTTCGATACCAAAACATAAAAAAAAAATCCTGAATAGTGATGTTAGCGATTGACTGGAATGTGCGGGTGTTTTAATGGATACTGACTCAAAATGAAGAATTAGAGTTGAGATCAAATTTCAGTCAGGTTCGTTACATTCACGTAAATCCAATTATCCTTGGGAAAGGTATGAATTCATTTACCCCCCAGATATGGGTTAAATACAACGACTTGCATTTGGAAAAAAGTATTGTCATTCTAAAAAAAACAAAAGAAACTGGTAATGTAATATTCACACGAATAAAAAAATAATTTAAAATTTATCTTAAATCAATTCAGCGCAAAGAAAGGCGATAATGCCGCTAAGAAGCAAGTGTGTCAATTAGGAGTGAAAGAAACATAAATCCGCGATCCACTACTCCACCGTCACTCTTATATATATATATATATATATATATATATATATATATATATATATATATATATATATGTCAATTCAGCCCAAACAAGGTGATAGCACAAGTAAGACGCAAGCGTGTCTACTGGGTGTGAAAGAGACTGAAATATCTTTAGAAGGAACCGGAACCTAATTCTAAATTCTGATGAGCTTTTCTATTTGATACCTAGACTTTATAAATTTAAAAGCTGTACTAGATTGGCGCTAAGGTCTCATCTATTTACAGTTCAATTTGCTTGACGTGACCGCAACTTCTATCGTAACAGTTGTTTATCAGGGATATTTGACGTAACCTTTTACGAGTCGCACTCTTTCTTATGTCACTCTGGCGGATCAAATTCTTCTCCATTTTCTAGGGTGAATTATATATATATATATATATATATATATATATATATATATGTGTGTGTGTGTGTGTGTGTGTGTGTGTGGATATATATATAAATATATATATATATAAAAATATATATATATATTTATCAATTCAGCCCAACAAGACTACAACGCTACTAACACGCAAGGGGTATATATATATATATATATATATATATATATATATATATATATATATATATATATAACTCGTGGCCTGACGATTGCGTCTGGCATGAAACAGACTGTCGCCTCTAAGTGTTGACTTCAAAAGTTGACTTTTATATTTACACTTGCTTTATCTCTGATATTGAGCACTTTATCCCATAAATATAGCACACCCTAAGAGTATATTTCTTTATATATATTATGTGTGTGTGTGCGTGTTTATATATATATATATATATATATATATATATATATTATAGAACTCCATACATATTATTATTATCGATGAAATCACGAAAATCAGAGTTGACATCCGATAAATACTGAAATTTACTGTTTTTGATTCAATAATCAATCATTATTGGTCTAGTCAAATAGCAAGTACTTATTGAAAGAAAATCTGTTTAATTTAACATACTTTCTTTGTACAGCAATATTTCAAGAGATAGACGGTCATTTATATCCACAACTTTCTATTTCGTGTAACCCTTAGCCGTTTCTCTCCTTTTTTCTAAGGCCCCCGTACCACATCCCATCATCCATTCATACAAGCTGGTCAGTTAAGTGGTTCAGTGCCTCCCCCCTCTCTCTCTCTCTCTCTTGCTTTCAATATCTCCGAATAAGGATTAAGTTTCCCAAGCCCTCCTTCCTCATAATGTGTCCAAGGAATTTCACTCCTCTTTTGCCGATTCTCAGAAGTGTTGCAATTTTCTTTCGGGCCTTTCTTGTTGCTTACTCGTCCAAGGAATTCTCAGTAACTTTCTGTAGAGCCACATTTCTGCTGCCACAAGTTTTTTTTCTCATCCTTTGGGAAATCGTCCAACATCCACTACCATTGGCACCACAAAGCAATAAAATATGCTTTTATTTATTTTTAATGAAATTATTCATTTCCCAGCACCTTACTTAGCATTTGGAAATTTTCTTTTACTCGTCCAGTGTTTGGAATTTGCTGTTGTATTTTCCATTCTCACTTCCAAAGTATTTTCAACCATTTAGCTATTTATATCTTTCAATTGGTAACTCGCACCTTGAGCTTTTTATCTTGCTGATTACAATCCTTTCTACAGTCTCCTTGCAGTTGATGGTTAGTCCTTTTGTCTTGCTTTCTTGGACCCTCTACCGCAAGCACATAAATCAACTTGATGCCTTTCACATGGGCTGCCTTCATGCCAGATGTGATATAAAATGGGATGACAGGATCAAGAATAGTGCAATACTGAAGAAATGTAACATCACAGGCACTGAAACCATTCTAGCAAAGATACAATTTAGGTGAGTTAGTCCTGTTCTGAGAATGGATGAGCATAGGCTTCCAAAGAAGGTGCGGCATGGAGAACTACCAAACACCAAGCGTTAAGTTGGACGTCCACTTTTACTCTACAAAGACAAATTAAAAGACAACTTGAAACGTCTCAAGTTTGATCTGACAGCCCAAGCATCAAAGCGAAAAGTGTGAGACATTTTTCATTAAGTTAAATGGTTTTAATGACAGTAGACTGAAGCACCGTAATCAGCTTTGTCAAGCTCTGAAGCAGAGACGCCATCAAAATCCTGCTTTAAAAAATTCATCTGTTAGTGTGGCTTTGTGACCCGCAGCAAGGCTGGGTTGTGTCACTTAAAAAAGCACAAATGAAATATGTCTTTCCCTTACCTGATTTTCTCCACAATAGCCAATGCTAGCATGCATTAGTTTAAAACAAAAGGCACCACCCAATGCTGACCCTCATTTATCGTTCATATATATATATATATATATATATATGTATGTATGTGTGTGTCTGTGTCTGTGTCTGTGTGTGTGTCTGTGTGCAAATATATAGAAAAATAGGAAAGAACACGTATGGTAAATAATCCGAATTTTTTTATTATTTTTGTTTTTATTTTTAAAAAAACAGTGCTCAATGCAAAAGCACAGCCTAAATTATAATTATTTTTTTAAAAATAGGATTCCTTCGCTACATAAGAGATCTCATGTTTCAAAAACAGGAACCAAAAACTTCAATATAATTATTAAAAATAAAATAAAAATTAATTTTAATAATTATACTGACGTTTTTGGCTCCTGTTTTTGAAACATGAGAACTCTTATGTAGCGAAGGACTCATATTTTAAAAAATAATTATAATATATATATATATATATATATATATATATATATATATATATATATATATATATATAGACATATATATATGTGTGTGTATGTGCGTATGTCTGTGTATGCGTGTGTATGTGTGTGTGTTTAGTTATATTCTTCTCCTTCTTCTTCTATATGCCGTACCTCTTCAGGATGTGAGACATAATGCCTCTCCACTACCTTCTGTCCTTTCAATATTGCTTTTCTTTTCGAAACCTCTTTCAAACCCTGCAACGCCATCCATTTACTCAAGCTCGCGAGGTAGGCTATGCATTGTTTCCCTCCATCCGTCTTGCAATCGATTGATCCTGTGAGTATTAAATTTTTAAAATAACCTTTCCTCATTATGTTCCCTAGAAATTTAAAATGTTTCTTCCAGATATTAATTATAAGTTCCCTGCTTGTTTCCATTGTCTCAAGAATATTGTCTTTGCTCACTTCCTTCTCAGCATCCTTCTGTAGAACCACATTTCTGTTGCTTTCTCTTCAACGTCTGTGAACATATTACCCAGCATTCATTGTCACACAGGAGGATTGATATTACATAGCAGTTCAGCGTTCTAACGTAATTGTTCTATTTCTTAATACCTTGCTTAGGTTTTAGAAGACATCTTTCGCTATCGCAACACGCCTTTTGATTTCAATGTCGCACCTTCCGTCCTCTGTTATAACACTTCACAGATATTTGAATTGTTGTGATTGTTTGATTTTGGTATCTGTCATTTTTAATTTGCATATTAGGCTATTTCTTTTGCTAACAACCTTGCATTCTGTCTATTGAAATTAAGTTATTTAAATTCTATATTGGAGAAAATAAGATTGAACATACAGTAAGAAACGAAAACATTAATCTATGAACTAGATGCAGGTTTTTAAGTAACCTCGTCAAATCATGGCGTCTAAATACTCATTCATAAGTGTTTAAGCTATTATCTGTATAAAACTGTTTGCTCAAATCAATATTTAAAAAGTGAACGAACCCTCTATATATTAGCAAACAATATTTCATTACATGTTTTAAAATGGTGCAACTGAATCACAAACAACGAACTTCTCATAATGACAAAATATCACATCATTTGAAGACATCTAACAGTCACTAAAACCAAAGCAGAACACGGAAGGTGTCAAAATAATATTCTTAAGAAATTTCAATTTTCTCCTAATATGGAGTTGTTATCATTTCAACTTTTTCACATTATTAACCGTATAAATCACACACACTTTGGAAGCAACAATATTCGGCCACGAGCAGCCATTTTTCATATAATAAACACGGTATAATTTATTCGAATTAAGACCGTTTTGATGACGAGGTCGTAACAGATTGACAGACGACTTTTATGAATGCCGTTGAGCCTTGGAACCTATGAGAAATCATTCAAAACGTAAAAAAATTATTTAATTTACGATAAATAAAATAGAAAATGAGGAATAATTTCTAAATAAGAATCCTGAAAAACATTTTTATATTAAAAGAGAATTCCTGCCTCGTTTCACAATAAACATTTTTGTAAGTGTTGCAAACAAGGAATTAGCAAACATTTTTTTTCTGGACAGCACAAATCATTTCATTGTCACAAAAAATTAAAACCATACGTTAATATTAAATTCAATTTATTTTGATTTATTTACTCAGTGTATATTGTCGATATATTGGTCTTAAACACTAAGAAACAAAAACAAAAGAAAAAAAAAGTCCCGTTTTTTTTTCTCATTCTTTTTCCACATTATCGTTCATATATATATATATATATATATATATATATATATATATATGTAAATATATATATATATGAATGTGTGTGTGTATGTGTGTGCAAATATATAGAAAAATAGGAAAGAACATGTTTGGTATATAAGAACTCTTATGTAGCGAAGGAATTCTTGCTCTAAATATAGGTGCGTTTTATACTTGAAAATAATAATTTCCTTGTAATTTTTCTGATTTTTTAACTGCGTCTTTGTTATTTACCGTACCTATGAACACTAATGGGCATGTTCCAATCGTAATAAATACGTTGGACACTGTTGCAGGTGGAGCAATATCACCAACGCTTCCACCTTATGTTGCAATAATTAAACTATTAATTCTTGCATTAATTCTGTCCTGGGTAAGACGATAAACTCTATGATCAGAAGGTTTTGAGGAGCGTGGAACAACCTCTTAATTAATTAATTCCCAGGTCCACCCTGACTTGGGGTGGTAGCACCTGTTAGGGTCCTAGCTTTGGGTCAAAAGTTAACCCCCAAATTGGGATCAAAACATTATGAAAATGGTAAAATAGTTTTTAATTCTAGCAATACATTTTTGTAAGTGATTATTAGCAGCAATAAAATTTTGAAGAAAAATTATTACCAGCAATAGATTTTTGAAAAAAATACCAGCAATATATTTTTGAAAAAATACCAGCAATATATTTTTGTAAAAGATTATTAGCAGCAATATTTTTTTTTTTAAATTACCAGATATACATTTCTGAAACAAAATTCAGGCAATACTTTTTTGGGGAAAAAAATGTCGGCATTAAATAACCCACTGAGGTTGATATGCCGTGAACAAACCAAACTTTCATCAGTTGCGACCAAGATTATTTGAGGTTCGCCGACTCCCGAAAGGACAAGTGTCAGTGAAATCTAACTTCTGAATACTGAAACGAACAAAGGTTAACATAATGTGCAGCCACCAAGATCTCACTGTCACTTGAAAATCGCGTGCGTAAAATGAGTAATGACCACCCGAGTGCAGATGTGAAGGTGCATAAAAAAACACCAAACTCAATTTGACGGCCATTTTCTACAGGTAGTCGCATAGGATCAATCGATGAAGCTGCTCGCAGTCAGATTTAGGCGGGAAGGTTAGTCATCCGCGCATTTAGTCGATGCTCCTCTCGTTCCCTGTATAGATTCAGGTACTGCCTCTGCATTTTTTTGCGTTCTAAGTTCTGTTTGTTTCTGCATTTTTTGGGGAATTGGTATCATGGTTCTTTTTCCAGTTTCGCTTCACAAGTGAAATTTATTTCTTCTTCTTCTTCTTCTTCTTCTTCTTCTTTACATTTTAATATAAGTCTAAGATCATGAGCCGAAAAGAGATTGCAATGAGAAGAGTAGATAGCCAAAAGAATTTGCGCTCAAATTTGTCACTGTTCAACGTTCCACCGTTACATCCCAGTTGCAAGATGCTCTTACTGACTCTAGATTCATCCGTTTCTGTCGAAAAATTCTTCAGCTTCACTATTTTTTTTTTGTAGGCCTCGACAATGTCAGATGTAGGAGCAAAGAAGAAACGCCGGCAACATAATGTCGAATATTTGAAATACGGCATTTTCCATAACCTCACAACGAGCGGTTATCGTTTTACCTGACATGTGAGTAGACAATCTCAAATGAGTTCTTGACGCCTTCAAGACTGAGCGAACATTTCAAGAAGCTGCATCCTAAAATGCCAGTAAAGCTGTGAGCTATTTCAATGACAAACGTTGCAAGGATACAACTTTATATAGCATGTTTGCCGCTTCGGCACATAACAATGACGATGTCCTACACGCTTCTTAAGATATTACTCTCCTTATTACCAAGGCAGGCAAAGACCATACGATTGGGAAATTTTTGATCTATCTAGTCATTCGTAAAGTTACGACAACTCTTACGAAGAAAATTCCTGAACTAGTTTTGAAAGCTATCTCTTTGAGCAATAAAAGTCGCTACTAGTGCTACTGAAAAAATTCTTTGCAACATTTTTCGAAACACGTAGGTTAGCATGCAACTAGACGAATCAAGTTTATACCCAACAACGCATCTCTGCGCTTGGATTACGTACGATTTATTAATGGCGGGAAACTATTACAATAACTGGAAGTTTGCCTACACTATGGAAACTGATGCTAAATTTCTTTCAGCATTCCACACTGTGGGATAATGTTTGATGCAGAAAGAAATACCAATGAAAAATATTCTTGTATGTGCAACAGACGATGTTGCATCTACGGTTGGACTTTATCGAGGTTTCATCGCATTTCACAAGCAAGCAGTCTCGAACGTTATGACAATTCACTGGATCATTCATCCAAAATATTCAATTGATAGAAACATCACTCCACGTCTAAACGCTTCTCTGAACACCTGGATTGCAGTTGTGAACAAAATCAAAACTTACCTGTTGAATTCACGACTTTTCAAATAGTTTTGTCCTGAAAACGACAAAGGATTTGAAAGGTTCCTACTGCATATGTCTTTGATTACACAAAACAAGCAGTCCCGCAAGTTTTATTAATCGCTAAATCATATTTGAACTCCTAGGTAAGCTCTAATTCTATTAACATGAAGAGTTTCCAGGCTTTTTTTTTTATAAATTTCACCTTGAATAAGACACAGGGACAACTGGAGGTAGAGTGTTACAGACTAAAGGTTAGGAGGCCCACTTTATTGGATATGTAGGAGAAGATAACTTCAGACTTGAACAGGTTAAGATTACAGTGGTCGGAGGAGCATCCGCTTTGGAGTCAATTTCAGAAAGTGAAATTGATATTTCTTCAATGGAATACAAAGGGAATGAGGGTAGTTCACTAGAATATGCCTGGCAGGGTGTGTCTTAGCTTCGAAGTTCAGAACTAATTCAACTAATAATTTCAGTTGGAAATAGCAACAGAAAAGAAAAGGAAATTGTCATGTAGTATCTGTGTGTATAATTTATGTGTGCAAGTATATTATAACTCTAGTGCATCTATACGGGATTAGGATGATAATATATGTGTGTGTATGTGTGTGTGTGTCTAGTAGGCCCTATTTATGTTTGAAGGTTGCCCGTATGTTGATTTGGAGGCATTTTTACATTAGGGATTAGGATGATAATATATGTGTGTGTATGTGTGTGTGTGTGTCTAGTAGGCCCTATTTATGTTTGAAGGTTGCCCGTATGTTGATTTGGAGACATTTTTACATCATCAACGATTGTTAAATATACGTTAGATTCTTTAAGAATGAATTTAATAAAGTTTGGTGATGTATCTGTTTATGTTTCTGAAATGAGGACAGTGGATAAAGGCGTTGGTTAAATCCAGTGACAGGACTCAAAGAGTGTGAGTTCAATACCTGGTTAAAGCAGTGAAGAACGTGGAGAGGTGAATTAACAGAAGATAACTGATAACTGACATCCATTAGACGTGGCACGTGGAACTAGAACAATCTACCCCAGCGATCGAAATAAAGGGTTCAATTTAACATTCGAACCACCTGAAGAAGTCCGGGGCGTACAACGGCCGAAACGTTGTGATAAATATGGGAACAAAGATGAGGACAATAGCCCGAATAATGTAAATAGTGTTTGGGGATGTAATACAATATTTTTGATGTGTGTTTATAGTTGGTAATTTATTTTTTATTCGGGATCCATTGAAGTATTTTCTTAGTTCATTTTTTAAAAATTATGGTCGCATTAATAAAATCAAAGTATAACCAATCCTCTTCTTGTGATTCACAACTGACTTTAAATCCTAGCCTCTAACACTTTATCTACCAAATTTGAAAATTAATTATTTCTTCCCAAATATTAAAGTCTTTACCACCACCTTCAAAACAATCGGAGATATAACTAAGAAGAAAAGAAAAAAAAAACACTTCAGAACCCGAATTTATCAAAGAAATTTCTTTTAATGTAAAAACAATTATATTGGCGAGACATCTCGTAATCTAAACGCTCGGATAAAAGAGAACTACGCTGGGACAACGAGTTAAAAAAAAGCAATTATTTCTTTTCGCAATGCTTATTCAACTCAAACGAAAAAAAATCTAACAGATTTTACTTTTATTCAAGTTTCTTCAGAGAATTTGATAAGGAAAAATTCTGGTATTTTTTATTTTTGTGTTTGAATTTCAAACGACACAAAGATCCGTGCATCACGTGATTTCATGTGTATTTCACTTGTCATGTAATATCCGTGTGTATAATTCATGTATGTATGTGTATCATAATTCTAGTTTGTTTATGCAGGAGTCGGATGATATTCTATGTACGTGTGTGTTTAGTGTCTCCTCTGTACGTTTGAAGGTTGCGTGCATGTTGATTTGGGGATATTTTGACGTCAACACCGGTCGTTAAATAGACGTTAGATTCATTTATAATGGACTTAATAAAAATCGGTGATGTAATAGAAAGTTTTCGACTTGTTTTTCTAGTCGGCAAAATTTTTATCAGGAACTTCTGGAAGTATTTTCGACGTTAAAAATTAAGTTCCTTTTTAATTAGCGTGACATTTTTACAATCAAATTTATTGTTGTTCAAATGTAGGTTCCTCTAGTGTTCACAGATGCGTGCTGTTAAACTTTGTGATATCTCTGCAGTGTAAGTGTATTTACATTGCAAGCGCAAGTTTTTCAACGGCTCTTATTGCAGGTGTTGTAAGGCGGAGAATACTTAATCAACCACAAGGAAATGTAGACGCCTTCAAACTCTGTCAAGACTAGAAAGTGGAGATTGGGTAGCTCCTGGTCATATATGACAGTATTTCTACATTTTCGACCTGATATGGCTGTTGTAAATGTAGAGAATAGCAGAAGGAACCCCAAAAGAAAACCTATGTCCCATTATAGAAACAGAAATATGACAGAATGTTTTGTAACAACCGTCATTGTGCTGAATTCCTCACATTTAGTTTGCTGAAGTTACAGCCAACAATTTCATCGAGATTTACAAACTCTACGTTTTGTTCAGTTTCATATTTTAAAATAGAATTCAGTTTATAATTCGCCCTACGTTTTCGAGAACTAGAAACTAGTCACAAGGCTAAAGTCTTCAAAAAGTTGAGATTTGGTTTTAGTAAAGAAATATTTACGCATAACAAGTTGTATGTTGCATCCTCAAGAGTAAGAAATTCTAAAAAATTATTAACCGCTGTTAAAACGAAAAAAGCAAAAATAAATTTTCTTGACAAATACTGTTTACCATGAAATCCTATAAAATCAAATTAAATTAAAGAAATTTATAAACCCCGAAGTACGTTTTTGCTTAAAGTATTTTTTCCAAACAAATCAACTTATTCACATTTCATCGATTGGTATGCGAAATTGAACGCAACATAGAGTTTATAAATCTCGATAAAAAAAAGTTAACGATAACTTCAACAATAGTAAATACTGTAAGGATTTTAACACGCGTCGACGTGTTACAAAAAATTCTAGTATATAAAAATTTGAAGAAAAGATAAGCAAAAAAATATGGTATTTTTATTAAGTAAGTGTTTTAGCCATTGTTTTTGTTATGGTCTAAGTTAGGACCAAGGAAAGACAACAAGAACACAAGAGTAGAAATAGCAAAAGTATATTACACTATATAATAATACAAGATTTGGAAGGTGTTAGTATGACTGTCAGTCTGGTTTGGAGTGAACTACTATCGGCTCGATTCGATTCGATATTTACTTGCCCCAACACGAGGGAAAGATGTGGCACAAGGCCGAGTTTTACGTGGGTTTCCCGAGCCAGTAGGCTCGGCCAAAATTGCCCGTAGAAATTGTAAAAACAGAATCGGGTTGGTCAACCTCCCCGAACGAGGCTCTACCCTTCGACGGAGCCTCTTCAGGGTTCGACCGTCAAGCCGAACTTCGGTATCTAGCCATCCCCCCCACGAGGGTTGCATGTGGCACAAGGCCGAGTTTAACGTGGGTTTCCCGAGCTCGTAGGCTCGGCCAAAAAATGCCCGCAGAACCCGTATAAACGGGATCGGGTTGGTCAACCTCCCCTGAACGTGACTCTGCCCTTCGGTGGTGCCTCGTCCGGATTCCTCTCTGCTCTGAGGTAGAGAGGTCGACCGTCAAGCCAAGAAGCTCAGCTTGATTCGGTATCTAGCCCCCCCACGAGGGTTGCATGTGGCACAAGGCCGAGTTTAACGTGGGTTTCCCGAGCCCGTAGGCTCGGCCAAAACATGCCCGTAGAACCCATATAAACGGGATCGGTTTGGTCAACCTCCCCGAACGAGAATCTATACTTCGGCGGAGCATCGTCCGGGTTCCTCTCTGCTCAGAGGCAGAGAGTTCGACCGTCAAGCCGAGAAGCTCGGCTTGATTCGTCCCTCATTCTTGAGAGGCGTAATATACATAGTTTTAGGAAGAGTTCATTCTATTGTTATAGGTAAGGACCCATGAGAGTCTTTTTTAAAATGGTGGGTGTATTTTGTGTGTTAAATAATAAACCGCACAATTTCCCTTCTCCCTCCAAAAAAAAAAAAAATGAAAAATTACTATTATCACATCATATCATATAGACCAGTTATTAAATTAAACTACCCTCTCACCCAGCACATTGAATATTAAACATCACCATATAAATTAT